CTCCCCTAGCAAACATGGTTCGTTTGAGGCCCTCACTTCTCCCTGCCTTCTCACAGCACCATCATAACTTCAAACAAATGGTGGTTAAGCAAGGACTACCTGTAGTTTATCCTCTCCTTTTCTTGCAACCTGTTTTTTGGGGGAGGGGTATTGCTGTATCTTTTATTATTCAAACACCTACCTCATTTATACAATTTTGCAGAGATTGTTCTGCAATGCTGCTAATCTTAAAACTATCACATCTAAAAGAAAAATGCTAGTCTCAAAGTTTGTCTTGAAAATCCAGCCATTTTGACTGTCAAAGCTAGAACGCTCAGACTAATCCTAATGCTGCCTCCAGATACTTCTTACTGTACAATCACCCTACTTTTTGACACTTTCCAATTGGACCAGATGATGTAATTTTCCATTTGTAATCCTTGGCTTCCAAATGATACACATTTGAAGTGGAAAAACCTCTTAGAAATAGGAAGCATCTGGAAGCCCTGTGCGCTTTTTTAAGAGAGGTAGGCCAATTGTAGAACAATAGACCCATCTGGAAATTCCCCACTACCAGCACCACCACTACTCCATGGTGAAGAAAAGGTTCAAAAAGCTCCACAAGGCATTTTGATTGGTTGTGCAGGCAGCCATCCAATCAGTTCCAGATGAGCCTATTACTCAGATCGACATGTGATTCCCATGTAGTATTGCTGGTTACATCCTGCAGTAATTTTTCCAGTTCACTGCCTGCATTCAAAACTACCCAGTTCACTTCCCTTAAGTGTATATATCCTGTAATGCAGCTTGCAAGCCAAATCCAATAAAATATATTTAATGTGAAATTCGAGGCACAATTCCCCCCCTAGAAATTGAAAAGCTCAGTGAAAGTGGTATTCTAGCTCTTGTGCTTTGCTCCTATGTTATTAAGTGATATCAAACCAGTAGGACTCTGAAGGAATTGATAAAAAAAAAATGCCCGAACATAAGGTTTATTGCTTGTAATTCTGAAACAGCAAGGATTCAATTCTTAATCCTCTGGAGTGCTTCCCCCCCACCCCCCTGTATCGCTTTTTTTTTTCCCCCCCTTGTGTCTTCGAGTCAGACTTGTCTCCTGGCGACAAGTCTTTCTTACTCTGCCCTTTTTTTTTTAGGTGCCTTCAAGTCAGTTTTTGACTCCTGGCAACTGCCTGGACAAGTCCTTGCAGTTTTCCTGGCAAGGTTTCAGCCCTTGCCTGCTTCCTAGGTGTGGCTGAGAGAGAGCCACTGGCCCAAAGTCACCCAGCTGTTTTTTTGGTGCCAAGGCAGGACTAGAACTCATGGTCTCCCAATTTCCAGCTTGGTACCTTAACCACTACACCAATCTTTAGTGTGCAGAAATAATACAGATGCGGGACAGCCGCGGAGAAATAGCCTCTGGTAATTTATTCCTGTCTTTTCGTTTCCAGTCTGCAAGACAAGGAGCGCTCCGCTTTCCCCCCGCAAAATTCCGGTGGCTCCCCATTGCCTAACTCGAGGACGGCTTCAATTCCCACTCTGCACCTTCAAAGCTGAATAGCCCACCCAGTTGCTACTGAAAACAGAGCGGGCTGGCCTGGCACCCCGACTTCGAAGGGCTTAATTTACTCAGCAGGGCGCCCGGCCACCAATCGTCGCCACCCCCACACCTCGTGCCAACGGCCAGCGGAGACCGTGCGGCGGCGTCGCAGCGCCCCAGGCAAATTCGCCCTCCCCTTCCCTGCCTGCCATCCAGCGACGGAGCCGGAGGAGAAGAGCCAATCTTCGCCGGTCCCGCCTCCGCCTCCTCCTTCCCCGGCTGGTTCCGGCTTCTCCTGTTTGCCGCCAGACCAACAGCGTTTTCCCGCCAGCTCTACCCTTCGCGCCGCGGATGGTAAGTCGCGTGGCGTGGGAGGGAAGCGCGGCGCCCAGGAGTTCAGGCTGCTTCGCTTTGCAGCGCGGCTCCGTAATTCTCCTTCGCCGCCACCTCCCCGGGTTAGTCCGCCGGCGTGGAGTTCGACTTCCAGACATGCCCTGCCTCCTGATTGAGCCCCTCGGAGCTTGCCCGCCTCTGCCCTCCTGCAGCCCCGCCCTCGTGGCTTCTAGTTCTCTAACGGGTCCTACAATCCAAGTCCTGGTTTGAGGGGGGCTTTGCGCTCAGAAGTCTAGATTGGAGCGGAACGACCCTCACTTGCGACAAATGCAGCCGCAGCTGCGGGACGGACACACACACGCACCCACCCAGCCAGTTAGAGGGCAGCTGGGGATTCTGGGGATTGAAGTCCCAGCCCGTAAGGTGCCAGGTTAGGGGAAAGGAGGTTTCGATTTCACTGACCCTCGTGTTTACTAATGCCGGAAATGAAAGAATTTTTTTATTTTCACTCTTTTCCAAAAAAAGGTCACATAGACAAAATGATTTTCCATTCATAACTTTTCCACAACTTACTGTCTGTTTTATCAGCTGCTATTTTCAGTTCATCCCCACCACTTGAAGATTGAACCATAAAAACTTCATGGTGAAGAGCAAAAATCTTTTGAGATAAGACACTGCCCTACCCTTAAGAAATGTTTAGATTAAATCTTATTTATTTAGCTGTTCCATTTTGTATCATAATTTTACTATGAATGCATTCAGGATTACTAACAAAAAAAAAACAGTTTTACCAGTTTAATAGACCTCCTTTCCAAGATTCCCTGGAAAATAACTCTTTTCTATTTATGTGATTATAAATATGCATGCATAATGTAATAACAAGATAAGTAGCTGGCCAGATCAGTAATTATAAAGCATTAAGATGAATACATTCAATAAAAATAAAGCAAAATGATCCGTGTTGCAGGTTCATAATCCAATAATGAAATGAAATGAAATGAAGAGGAAGAAACCAGAGGCAGAGATAAACCAAAAGTCAGTCTGAAATTGTAGTTAATCTAACGGTCTGTTTTTCTGCCTCTGTTGGACAGATGATTTTGGAAGGCTTGATAATTCATGTCCCTCTATAGTTACTAACACTTGTGAGAATGCACAGGAATCCTGTCATGAGGATCCTGTTGAGCTCTCACACCAAAAGCAGCAGTTGGAGCTATCCTGTGTCAGTTTGCTTAATTCTAGAGGCAAATTGTTCACTGGTTTGTATATCTGCAAATTGGGAATGGTTCCCACTTTTTAATGTTTTTCATTAACAGGGAAGGTTTTCTTCCTGTTCTGTGAGGTTATTGCTCTGTTATACTGTGTCATATGAAACTATGCGCAACACTATAAAAACCAGAAATGTAAAAGAACTTTCAGAGCTGGAGTTCTTCCAGATTACATCTCTATTGTAGAATCACATTGCTTCATAGAATTTTACAGGAGATCCAGCTGTTAATGATAATTCATTTGTAGCTTCCCCATTTCTGTTATTTGTCTTACCCAAGAAAATTCAGCAAGAAGGAAAAGATATAAAACCTTTTGTTTGTTACCATCAGGAGCTATCCATCTGGAAGAATCCTTTATTCCTTTTCAGAGAAGAGCACCATCTTCTTTACTGTGATCCTGAGAACATAGACAAAGTCCTGTCCTGGTATTGCTTCTTCCATACATGAATAAACATTGTTTGAAAGTACAGGCAGTCCCCAGGTTAAGAATATCCAACTTATGGACAACTCATACTTATGAATGGGCTGCCTCTTACTAAAAATGGCAGATGGCATTCTCCTTCCTCAAGCTGATGAACTACTGAAGCTGCGCAATGTTTTCATGAACCACTGAAGCTGCGCATTTTTAATATGCAGCCAGTTTTCAGCAGTCAGGAGAACGCCGTCTGCCATTTTTAGTAATAGGCAGCCCATTCGTAAGTATAAGTTCTGATTTACAAATTCGAGTTAAAGACAGACTCAGGAACAGAACTTGTTCATAACCCAGGGACTACCTGTACTAATATGCCAACTGAACCCAAGATGTGTTGGCTCCTGGCTTCCTCAGTTGCTGTAGTATGTTTATCCTTGTCTTTGATTATTGTTTGATTTGTATAGCTTTTGCTTTTTGTTAGCTACCCAGAGTCACATTTGTGAGATGGGTGGCCATATAAATTAATTAAATACATACATACATACATGCATACATATATTATGTGCATAGACATAAATATTATCATTGAAATGTGCAGGCCAGAAGAAAATAGAAAGATTTTATCCGGGAAAGGAAGCAAAATAGAAAACAAGGATCCTGGGGAAGAGCTGAAACATAATTATGAAGGAAATTAATTTTATGCAATATGCTGGAAAGAAACACAATTTATGTTAGTTTAATATTGTTTTGTCTCTCTTCTAATTATAGGATTCATGATGGTTTTAACTACAGAGCAAATAAACCTGACTGGACAAGTATTTGAATCATATATTCTGGAATATCACCAAAATGATGTCTTGCAGATTTTAAGAGAAAAAGACGATAATGCCCATTACCCAGTTATTGTTGATGCATTGACACTTTTTGAGACCAACATGGAAATTGGTGAATATTTTAATGCCTTCCCTAATGAAGTCCTTCCTATTTTTGATAATGCATTGCGTAGAGCAGCTGTGACAGTATGTCAGTCGGCTTCCCAAGCTCAGGAATTCATCATTAAACAGAATCTACATGCCAGAATATCAGGTAAATTGCATTTCTTGTGATACATACAAATCTTAGCTAGCATTGTAAAAAGCCTCTGTGGATGATACAGCAAGTGTAAGCATTCTGTCTTTCAAGACCATGCTTTCGATTAAGATAGCCTTTCCCCACCTGCCGAACTTTAGATGCCTTGAACTATAACTTTCATAATTCCCAATTAGTGTTGGTGGCTGAGTTTAATAGAAAGAGTGCTAGGTAGGAAAAGGCTGGCTTATAGAATGCAAACCCAGGGGCATTACTGCTGACCCAACTGGAAAATAGGAATCTAGAGGCTTTTTCCTGGTCTTTCTCCAAGATGTTTGGCGTGGTTTATGGGATTTCTAAGGTCAGGCACACATGTTGTCTTCCTTTCCTTCCTTCAGCAGTGATTTTTAGTAGATCTCACCAGTTCCAAGATTTTATATATATTTTTACAGAGCTACCATTGATGGCATGTTCTATTTCCAGTTTCAATTCAGTGATTTCATTTCTTTCCCCTCACAACCGTCATAGTGCTTTCCTAGTCAGCCTTCATATCTCTCATAATTTGTTGAACAAAGAGCAAAAATATATCCCCTTTGTTTATAGTTTACTTCTAGATCCCAACTGTCTGCTTGTTTGATGCTTTGACAAGGAAATCCAGTAGTTCTATGAAACATTATAGCTCTTTCTGTCTTGACATGAATAACCTATGCTTAAAAATGGTCACATAGTTTAAGCCAGTTAATATGGGAAAAAAGGGTGTTGCAGGCAAAATTGTGGGAAAACAAAACTTTCTTGTTAATTTTATAAAGAGTATAATATATCTGAAGCTACATAAAATGTAAGATAATCCTTAAACAAAAAAGAGCAGCAGTTTTCTGCATTTTGTTTGATGGAAGAATATTTTTGTTTTAAAACTACTGTTTTATGAAGTACTTCCAGATGAATTACCCCACTAAAACATTTTATATATTGTATTTTTCATTTTCACATGATAGCCAAGTACCTTTAATCTTTGCTGTTGAAGTTGTGGATAGGAAAAACTAGAACATTGTTGGGTGGGTGTTTCCATAATTTTTGACTAATGCTGAATAATGGATATAAAGGCAAAGATGATTATGCATCACATGTAAGTGTCATTAAACTCAGAGGAACTTATTTCTGAACAGAAATCTACAAAATAACAGCATCAATTTTACAGAATCTACAGAAATCTTTAAAACATCAGAATAGTTTTGGGTGAGCACTGAATTTTACTGAGTTTTGAACTAACAGTAAATTTGTGTGTGCAAATGTCTATGAAAATAGTATCTTTTTTAAATTACTACCTTTTTCTCTTTTCCTTGATAGGATAACTGTAAATAATGGGTCAAATTAATGAAAATGGGCAGCAAGGTTGAGTTTACACATTATACAAACCCATAATTTTGTTCATTTAGTTTTAGCTCAGTGTTTTATGTGTACCCAGCCTTTGTAGTTTGTAAATCATTGTTTAAGCCTTAGTATGCTATGCAAACCAGTTACTTGGTCTACTGGTAGTTTATTCGACAAACCACAATTAAATGCAATGTATGAACTAAGAATACATCATTGCCCCAGATTGCTAAATCAAAATTAAGAGTTAGTGGAAACTGCCAATGAAATAATCATGATCACTTCTAATATTCTGTTTGTTGTTTTGCCAGGTTTACCTGTGTGCCCAGAGCTAACTAGAGAACGTATCCCAAAGACTAGAGATGTAGGGCATTTCCTGTCAGTCACTGGCACTGTTATTCGCACCAGCCTAGTGAAAGTCCTGGAATTTGAGCGGGATTACATATGCAACAAATGCAAGCATGTTTTTGTGGTCAAGGCTGACTTTGAACAATACAATGCTTTCTGCCGCCCATCAACCTGTCCTGGGAAAGAAGGCTGCTCCTCCTCAAAGTTCACTTGTCTCTCTGGAACATCCTGTGCTCCCAGCAGTTGCAAAGACTATCAAGAAATCAAGATTCAGGAGCAGGTTCTAAAAAATGTTCACACAGATTTGCTGGGCTATAAGTTTCCTGAGGGAATTATTGGGTAAATGGTAGTAGCAGTATAAGATCCCTTTCTCCATGTCACTATTGTCTTTTCCATCTTGTGAAAAAATGTTTCATAGAGAACTAGCTGATGGAAATGTAGGGATACATTCAGGGTTCTTTTTATCCCCCTCCTATTATATCCTTGTATCCCATAAATACGCTTTGGAGGATCTGTCTTCCTTTTAGAGCAGATTTGTGGGAGTGTCGGGTGAAAGGATTCCATTCTGGTTACTCTCTCAGAAGGCAAGCATGCCTCTAACTAGGGTGTAAATGCTATTAAATGCAAAGGAATCTGCTTCTGAAGCAACTTGCATAAGATCAGAATCTAATGGAAATATAGACCAAATGAAAGCAGATTTCTAAGTAGTTGCTTGCCTGGATACCCACAGGGTGATAAATATTTATTTCTAGTGGATCATCTAGAATAGCTTCAGTAAAATTAGGTTCAAGTGGCCAATACAGTTGAGTCATTGGTTCCCATCTGGTAACTTACATAGATTTAGTTGTAGTCCTTGAAACTTGTAAGCATTTGCTTACCTTGAAATAAAATGGATACACTTTATGTCATCCAGGTTCAAAGGCTTTCTGTTGGAAATATTCCCCGTTCTATGATGGTGGTCCTTGAAGATGATTTAGTTGACAGTTGCAAATCTGGTGAGTTCTGTGGCAGATTCTTAAGGAAAATACCTTCTTTTTAGGCAGTTCATACTTAAAGAAAAAGTCAAATTAATATTTTAATGAGGTCTTGTCTGTTAGTAATCTACATGTCATGTTGTTTCATTGTTAAAATCTTACTGATCATGCAACATGAAATGCCATTGTCTTAGATCAAAATATCAAATCGTATGATCATTGGCATTTAAAGTTTCCAAGTCTCAAAAGACTATTCTTCAATTATGGAGGTATTACAATACACATTCTTCTATGCTAACACATTTCCTCAGGATTTGGGTCCATGTGTTCAAAATATCGCTTCTAGTTAATGGTCTTTATGTTCTGTCTTTCCATATAGATTTAAAAACAAGTAAAATATTAGTTGCGTGCAAATATCTATTCTTAAAAAATATATAAGGTAGATTCTTCTATGTGCTTTCTTTTTAATATTTTCCTGCAATTAATTTTGAAACAGCTCAATAGTCAAAGCTCTCTGGGTGATTTACAATAAGCACCCCCCCAAAAAAAGAGACAATATAATTTGAATTAAAACATATCCAATAAAATCAAATAAAATACAAAATAAAGACACTACCAAACTAGGCAGCAGCAAGGTGGTCATCAAACTTTAAAACAATGAATTAATATACAACTAGAATATGATTAATTCTAATTAATATTCTATGATTAATATAATTAAAAGCCTGATGCCAAAATGCTAATGTGGATGCCAGGTGAGCCTCTCTGGGGAGGGCATTCCTTAAATGAGTACCACCACAGAACAGGCTTCTGCCTTGTGGAGATCCACTTCACCTCCTTTGATGGGGAGAGACTCATTAGAGGATCTTAAGATCTGGATAGGTACATACAAGAGAAGACACTCCTTCCGTTTATCCAAAACAGGTTTCACAGTAACTGCTTTGTAATTTCCTCTATCCCTTCTTGGTCTCCTTTTAAACATTTGAGTTATATTGGCCTTTTTTCTAACCCTTGTAGAAGGGTTCCTGTCTTTTGTGAAAAGTAGCATACAGTATTTGGTGAGCAGCTTAGCATTTTCACTCAAAGGCTGTTGAATTCCTTTAGAATCCTTCAGTGGACATCACCTAGAAAACTATAGCCAGTTGGGATAAACAGTCATGTGCTAAATTAACCAAGGGCTTGACTTGACATAAGAGACCTTTATGTTCCCAAATGCCCATAATTATATGATTTGTTGTTTTGACCAAAGACAATGGCATTTCATGTTGTAAGATCAGTATACTTTTAATACCAATGAAACGACATGACATGTACATTACTAACAGGTGGCACCTCTGTAAAAATACTAATGTGTGCCATATTTTTATGACAATTCTTGGTTTTTGTTTGTTCATTTTTTGTCTCGCTCAGGTGATGACATTACAGTTTATGGAGTAGTGATGCAGAGATGGAAGCCTTTTCACCAGGATTCACGCTGTGATGTAGAGATTGTTTTGAAGGCCAATTACGTTCAGGTCAACAATGAACAAATTATGGGCATCACAATTGATGAAGATGTTCGTAAAGAATTTGAAGATTTTTGGGAAAGACATAGGAATGATCCTTTAGCAGGTTTGCAAAAAAAAAAAAAATACAATAAACAGATTGGCATGGACAGCTTGCTTTTGAAATGTACCAATTTTATCTTTATAATTGAATTCAATTCAATTCCTTGCTCTTTAAGATCTGATGTGGAGTTGCATAGATAATAATTAAATTAAACCAGAAAAGAGAATAAGACAGTTATTTCATTTTTAACAAAAAGAATGAAGGGTAAACTAGCTTAAAGTATGGTATCTTAAATTTTAATTGATGAAACCATGCTATGTCTGGTTGGGCTGATGTACAAAGAGACATCAAACAGCAGCCTTCACCAATTTGGCATGCTATAGATTTGTTAGACTACAGCTCCCTTTATCAGTTGTACTGGCTGGGAATGGTGGAAATTGTAGTTCCACATCTTGGAATGCATCGGATTGGGGGGAAATGCCATAGCATGTGCTGCTGTTGTGGATTTCAGCTTGAGCACAGATAGAATTCAAATAACCTTGTTTATTTCTTTTTCATATTTGTGATCAAAGCAATAGAAGCCAGAAGCTGGCATTTATGTATATGACCAATACATTTTTATATACTGTTTCTCCCGCCCAGAATTCTGTGTATCATCTTAAGATGCATGTAGAGCTGTTGGCCCCATAGAAGTTCCAATTCATCTCATTGGAGACACCTACTCCATTATGTGTCTTTTTCCAATTAAATGAAGGAAGGAAGCTTTTGTTGATGTAAGAATTCTGCACCTGGAATAGGGCTCTAAGGGCCAATAATAATCTGTGGAGTCTTTCTGTGAATCTTCAATTCCATCCTTTAGAATATCAAAGCTTTACCCAATGTGTTGTCTGCCAGATGTTTTGGACTACGTTTCATTAGATCCAGTTAAGGTAAAATGTGATTAGGGATGATGGGTGCTGTCATTCTAAACATCTGGAGAGAGTGATTCAATAAATCAATATATGCTGGTCTTTGACCGTAATAAAGATTTGATTTGATTCTGATAAATCAATGAATATATCTAACCTAAAAAACACTTTGACCCTGTTATCTTTATCAAATTATTCAATAAAAAGCATTGGATCTGGCATTTGATTTTTACTGTAATTAAGGCTATCCCCAAATAAAACGAAGATTAAGAAAACATCACAGTGATTTCAAAATTACCTATATAAAAGCTAAGCTGGATCAGGCATGGTTAGTTACTTGGATGGGAGACCCCAGACTATAGTCTAGATTAGGACGTTGAAAAACTCTTGCAGAAGGAAGCAATGGCAAGCAACTTCTGTCCTATTGCCTTGAAAATTATATAGATGTTCGAAAAGTCAGCAAGGCTGAAGTTCAAGTCAAAAGAGACTTTAGCTGATAATTTCTCATACTGAACCAAGGGCAACAGTAAATTAGAAGAGTCATAGCTGGGATGTGCATGTAGGTGAGAGAAAGAGAGATCAAATCACTAATCTGCTGCACTATTCTTTCCATACTTCGCAGGGAGGAATGAAATTTTAGCAAGCTTGTGTCCTCAGATTTTTGGATTATATCTTGTGAAGTTGGCTGTAGCTATGGTGCTCGCGGGAGGGGTGCAGAGAACAGATAATACCGGCACTCGAGTTAGAGGTTGGTATATAACATTCTCTTCCCTCTTATTCCCACACTGTAACAGAACTCTTTTCTTTATCGCTCTACATGTTAGACATTGGCCTGAACTGAAAAAATATTTATAAGGTAAAATTAGACTAGTTTTCTTTTTTGCGTACAGTCTTGTGGAACTAAACAGGTTAAAGATTCCATTTCATGTTTTTACAAGACATAGAAAGGACAACTCAACTTCATAATGCTTACCAACAGAATCAAGATTAAAAATATGAATATACATGTCTTTTCCAATTTTTAGAATTAAAGTATGTTTCATTATAATACAAAAATGCATATAATGTTTCCTTCCTTTTCTCACCCTAACTGAATTTGCATCTTTTATTTTATATTGCACCTCACTTTACCCAAAGGATATTTTTGCACTTGAAATTAATAGCCATAAATATAATTGTCAAAAAATTGTCATTGATATGCTACAGTGCATTTTTAATGTGAACAATGCCATAGTTTCAGTTTCATGTATAATGAAATCCAGGATACCCTAAGATCTTAAAAAAATAAAACTCCTCTTTTTGATGCCTTAGTACATAGGTTTCTCCTTTTAAATTGACAAAAGAACTTGTGATATTCATCACAAACTTCTTACCAAAAATACAAGAAGTAAGAAAGGTCTCAAACACAGAAAGTGTAAAACAAAGATGCTTCTGGACTTCATGCTGTGGTGTGGCACCTTTACTTCTAAAGATAGCTTTAAGTTTAAATGTACTATTTCATAGGACTAGATCCCAGTTGATTTAAAGCTTTTAGAGTAGCTATTAAAGAGTAAGGCTATACATTTTAATCATAATACAGTAATGTATTAAAATAATATTCAGTCAGAGCAAATATTAATCAGTTTCGACCATCTGTACTCCGAGGAACACCCTTTTGATCTCTGGCTAGAGAGTTTGCTTAAATTGTTTATGGTAAACTTTCAGCTAGTTGTTTTTCTTTGGTGTTGGATGTCTGAATTAATGCTTACAAGAAGGTACATTATCAGCATCTTGATTGTGGGCATGATCCTCAAAGGATTTTGTTTATATGCCTATATGTTTTAGGATTACCTGATAAAAATTTAAATACTACCTTTGAAATAATGGTATCATTTCCATATTAGTGTAGAACACCCAGCAAGGCTTTTTGAAACTAGGGTAATTTATTGTGAATAATAGTTGTTTTTGTGAAATACAGTGGGGCAAAAAAGTATTTAGTCAGCCACCAATTGTGCAAGTTCTCCCACTTAAAA